GCTGCTGGCGGGTGCTCCGCGCTGGGCGCCGCGGGGGAGCCGCCGCGGGGCCGGCGGTCTGGGTGCCAGCGGGGCCGGCGGCGGCTGCTCCGCGCGCGGTCTGGCCGGCAGCGCGTCGTCGTCGCTGTCTTCGTCCGCGTCCGCCCATCGAGCTCCGGGCCGAGGGCGTCCAGGGCGTCGTACGACGCCTGGAGGTGCCCCCCGAGCTCGCCAGGCTGCGGGCCCCGCCCGGGCCGGCGCTCTCGCCTGCCGCTCTCAGGCGTGGCCCGCCTTGCATTTCCCACGGCAGACCAGAAAGGTCCCGCCTCCCAGGCGTTCCACCGCGGAAGAGCCCCATCCCGCCCGCCGAAGGCCCTCCGCTGACCATCCGTCCTCCGCCTCGCCGGCCGGCGGGAAGGCCGTCTGCGCCAGAGCGCGCCGCGCCGTCGGAGCGCTGGCCGGTGCCGCTGCCGCTGCCGCGGTCTCCGGTGCTGGAGCCGCCAGAGGCTTCGCGGCGCCGCTGCCGCTGCCTCCGCAACCGGGCCGGGAGCGCGCGGAGCCTTGGCCGCGGGCCCGGTCGGCGCGCCGTGCTCCCCCGCGCTCTCCTCCTCGCCGCTCTCCGCCGCCGCCCTTGCTCTCTCCTCCTCAGGAGAGGAGCTGCAGTAGCTCATGGGGCTCGGGTCCCTGCCCTCCGGGCCGCCGCCCGGCGGCGCCTGGCCGGCCGCGGAGGCCCGCTCCTGGGTCGCTGTGCCCCGGGCCGCGCGCGGGGGTGTGGCAGGCGCCCTTGCCGGCGGAGCCCCGGGGCCGCGTTCCCGGCCTTCCCCGCTAGCTGGGGGCAGCCGGAGGCCGCGCCGGCGGGGTCCAGGCAGCCGCGGCTGGCCTTCGGGGGAGGCGCCTGCGGCGGTCGCCGCTGGCGCCCCGCTCGGCTGCGGCTGCGCCTCCTCGAGTCGTCCTCCTCTGGGCTCCTGCCGCGCCCGCCCTCCCCCGGATAGGGGGGGCGCGCCCAGGGCGCCGGCTCCAGGCGCGGGGGCGGCGCATGGGTCCAGGCGGCGCGCCGGCTCCTCCTCCTCCTCGCGGCGTCCGCGGTGCCTCCTCGGGCAGGAGCGCGGGCGGCTGCGCCGCCGGGAGCTGCTGACAGCAGGCTCTGTCTGCTGCCCCGCGAGCCTCCGCCACAGCCAGCTGGGAGGGTTCGCCTTCTTCTTCTTATTCTCCTTCTTCTTCTTCTTCTTCATCTTCTTCTTATTATTATTCTTATTTTTATTATTCTTATTATTCTTATTATTCTTCTCCTTCTCCTTCTTCTTCTGCCTGTGGCTCTGCGCCCACGGCGCCTGGCGGCCACCAGACCCCTGGCGCTGGGGCGGGCGGTCCGTCAGCGAGCTGGACTGGGCACAGGCACTACGCCCACGCCCATCCAGCCGGGAGGGGCGGTCGCGCGACCGCCCCGCCAAAGCCATCCATGCACCGGGCCCGCGCCGCGCGGGGGCCCCTGCTGGCCACGCGCCCGCGCGCTGGCTTGGGCAGGCCTCGAGCCTGCCCCTGAGCTGCGTCTCGAGCTCGAGCGCCAGGGCAAGCGTTCGAACTTGAGCCAAAGTGGCTACGGACGCGTGGATCGAACACGCGTTTCGGTTTCAGCCTTATCGCATAACAAGATAATGATGCAATGCGGGCCACATGCGCGCGCCCCCGTGCGGCATGCCAAAATCATCATACATCAATTGATGTTAAACCAGCTCATTAAATGTATGTGAGTATACATGCACATGTGATCACACACGTTATTACACTCATGTGACCATCGCTACTAGTTGCACTACTATTCAAAACTTGGTGCTTGCTCGTCAGGAAAATGTCAGGTTACTGCGCGCACTCGCTGCAATCGAATGAAAAGACAAGTGCGTTAAGCCAGTCTACACGATGTGGCCATGAGGGACAGTCGCGTGCGCACCCAAATTACATCCAACAGTCATCACGCACCCGTTAACAATGTCAAACAACAATTTGCGGTCCACACGCGCGCACCTCCGCGCGCGCAAATCGATATCGTTTCCAAGCCGCTGGTGGTTTCAACATGGCAGGGCAGGGGTGTTCAAACAAGATGTGAAGCCGACGGGCTTTTCAATACCATTTCCGTCAGGAACTCTGACTTCCTTGCGCGCGCCCTTCCGCATCATATCACTGTAATCATCGCCAGCGTCGCCATTGCCACCGTCATCAGCATCACAATCATCTTCGTTGTTGTCGTTGCTTTCGCCGTCAGCGCCGCCATCATCATCGTCATCATGAGCACCAGCCCGCCCGCCCGCGAGTCACGGATGCTCGTGATAATGGTTTTCGCGTTAGTACGCCAGTTGAGTTTGGCCCGTGAGTTGCGGGTGTGTGTGGGGGGGGAAGTTGCTCGAGCATTAGGATCGACGACTAGCATTAGAGCCCAGGACGTCCGGTAGATTGCAACATGCAGTTTGTGCACTGAATAGATTACGCCATACTTATATTTATGTGTAGAGAGGGAAGGGGGTGGGACAGAGAGAGAGAGAGGGATGAAGAAATCGAGAGACAGAGAGGGAGAGTACCATTCTCTCTGCAGAATATGAAACTCTTACCCCGATGCCAATGCCAGACTTACCGGGTTACCTCCGCGCATTGCTGTTTATCGCGTTTTGTTGCACGATCATACAGCATTAAACCCTACCATCCCAGCAAGTCTTCTCATTCCAACCCCAAACGAGTATTCGATGTGGTACTAGAGTTGCGCTTTTACGCGCTCCTCTTCAAATAGTGCAATGCTGGTTGCATGCACGCGCGCATGGCCCAATCCGTCCAAGACCGGCGGTTGCAAAAGAAGACAAACGGAAGTTGTATCAACAATTATGGTTGTGCGAGAATTGTATGATGTCGATGCGCGTGCACCCGCTTGCATATAACAATCCCAAAGTTTGTGGCCATCAGGTGTGCAACACGCACTTGCGCATATCCAAACCATCTCCAATAAGCATTGCGGACCCGTAAGTTCTTTCATATACAACAGTGCAGGCCACGCGCGCGCATCACCGCTTGCGTGGCCCGCATCGTTGCAACATAAAACAGTTTTCCAATGGACATGTTGTCCAATTGTTTGGGGGCGCGCGCACACTCATCACCTTCACCAGCAGCGTCATCAGCATCGCCTCTGTCAGCATTGCAATCAGCATCATGGTCACCATCATCTGCATTACCATCACCACCGTCGATCTCATATCGTCGGCACCACCGTCGTCATCGTCGCCGTCGGTGTCGCCGACGTCATCGTCACCATCATCACCCGCCCGCCCAAGTTATGGTTGTGCATGAAAAGGGTTCTCACGTCGTGCGCCAGTTGGGTGTTGCCAAGATGTTGCGGGCGGGCGGATGGCATGTTTGTTCGAGCAGTGCAGTTGACGGTCCAAGATCTTAAGCGATAAGTGTGCCACATATCATGTTGCACACAGGTAGATTGCACTTCACACAGATTGCACCATGCACGTATATGTGTATACACGCATGTATAGTACATCGAGGGCGCAAGAACTCGCTGGCACGCATGCTGTCCGCCAGGGCTTACCCCCGTCAGGGCCGGCTGGCGTCCCAGCCCTCCGAAGTTTGAGTTTTCCCATACCCCTCTCAGACGCCAGTTTGATTGCAGTTGATTGCCCTGATACGCCCGTGTTGAAACGAAAAATGTACCGTGTTGAAAACGGTCAGGCTGAATTCGTTGCGCGTCAGTTCAAGACGTGTAGGCCTACGTGTTGGCGCACGTATCGCGCCAGGTTTGAGTTTTCGATGTGCGTGTTCTGCTCCGTGCCACCACTCTTCAGGCTGCTCGTTCCGTGTGTGTCAGGGCAGTTGAGCTTCCCACACGCCATCATGACATGCTGTGCGAGCCGCGCCCAGCCGCAGCCACGAGGAGCCCCGAGCCCCGAAGCCAGAACATTCGATTGGCTCTTGCAAGATTTGTCTTTTGCCAACTCTAGAAATTTTGAGGCAGCCTCTGGATTCCGGAACTCCACATATGACGCCTTCGTCAATCTACGATTGTTTCGAGGCCCTGAATAGAAATGTCCAACTTCGAAGGCAGGCACATTCGGAATACTCTGGGCGAAAGATTCTATCTCACGAGTGCGTTGCTGAATGTCGTCTGTTCAGAATCCGATAAACGCAACACGGCGGTGCGCAATGTCAAGGGCATTTAATACTGATAACTGCCGTTTTGAACTCTGACTGACTGCTGCGCTCGATAAACGAACTTTGACGTCGTGCATGTCGTTCTGAATGGGATCGATTGATCCAGAAATTGCAACTTTGTAACTTTTCATCATGTTGATCTCGGTCTGCTTCAAATCTGTTTTTGTTGCCACATTCTCCATTTCTTTCTTCATTACCAGATGCAGAAAGCGTCAAACGCCTCGCCGTCATCGTGGGGGGCCGACCAGCGCACCCCGCGGCGGCCTAGTTCAGGGCCCTGTGAACCAGGATATCGCAATCCAGGATTTTGAAAGCTCCGCCTGGAGGAGACGAGCAACGGAGAACGCTTCGAACAACGACTACAGTTCTCTCGGGCGTGCCATCGCACGCAGCGATCGGCACGCCGCGCTCACCCTCGGGTATACCCAGAACTCCGACGTGATTGCAGAACAACGTAGACCCCTGGATGTTTGGACCACTTCCGGGGGACTGGCATTTCGTCCCGGGTCGTTCGTTGACGGTCTCGAGTCTTGGTTAGAGCCCCCAGGGGCCGCAATTGGCGAAACAAAATCCGTAGTGATTGTTGTTCGCGATGCGACGAGGTTGGGGTACGGCATGTTCGTGCCGCGTCGGCGCCACGGCGACCTTGGCGTTGGCGTTCAATATTGAACGCTATTGGTGGCTTGGGATCGGCCGAACCCCGCTGTCGGAAAGCCCGATCGGTCAAGGTTGAAGGATCGACGCGGTGTCAGAAACCAATGCCGGGGCCGGCTCGACACGACCCCGCCGTAGCCGACCCACGAGCGGCGCCGCCCCCGCAGGGCAGCACCCTGGTCAAGAGCTTGAGCTTCGGCGCCGTGCCAGCCTTCGCGGCGCCGCCGCTGCCCGCAGGCGCGCCCTCTCGGCGCCCTCTCGGCGACCGTCGGCGGCCTTCGGTGCGGCGACCTTCGGTGCGGCGGCGACAACGACGACGAGACGAGACGACGACGGCGGCGACGAGGAGAGCGAGGGCAACGATGACGACGACGATGAGGCCTCATCCGCCTCCCCCTCCTGCTCGTGGGGTCCTGGGCTCCTCAGGTGGAGCTCAGGCCACCCGCGTCCTTGTCGCTCGGGGCGCGCTCGTATTTCGATCCGCGACCTCTTGATTTGCGGGTTCTCATCCTCCTCGTCCTCCTCGTCTTCGTCCTCTTTCGAGGGGAAGAAGACGACCACGAGGACTCTGATATTCTTTACGCCGTTCTGGCTTCGGGGGGGAGCTGCTCGTGACCACGGCTGGACGTGGTTCGATAGAGGGATCGGGATGGCGTTGATTTCGACAAAGAAAGTCGTCGTCGTCGCCGCCGCCGTCGTCGGCGGCCTCCCTCGCGCCGAGGGAGTTTGGCCACTGGGGGCTGGTCGCCGCGGCTGAACTCGCTTCGAAACTCTCGCCAGCGCGCTCCAGAGAGGCACGAGGGTCGAGTTCGAGGGAGGAGGAGGAGGAGGAGGAGGAGGCGGAAGGGGAGGAGGAGGGAGGAAGAGGAGGGAGCAGGAGGAATCAGGGACGAGGGAAGAAGGAGCAGGGAGGAAGGCCTGGCAGCCAGCCAGCCTGGCAGACCCCATCGCCAGGGCAAGCAGCCGCGCCCACAGCTCGGCGGCGTGGACGGCTGGACGGAGGGCGCGACAGCTCCTCCGACAGGATTCCTCGGCCGCCCGCACGAGTGACTCCTCGCCAGAGTGACCTCTGGGGCGTGGCTTCGGGGGGGCGGCGCCGGTGGGCCGAGCGCAGGCGTGGAGGTTGCCACAGTCGCACCGCATGCGGTCGGCAAGCCGCGCACCAACGGCCCCTATGGCCCAGCGCTGCTCCTGCGCGCGGCAGCCGAGCTTCGCGCCTCCGGAGACGAGTTGCCGCAGCCGCGACCTTCGCATGCGAGCGCGCTGGGCGCCGCAGCGGTGAGTCGTTCGGCACAGAAGCGAGCCCGCGCCGAGCGGCGGGCCGCGGGGAGGGGTAGGGGCACAGGCCCGCAGTTAGCGACTGCAACAAAGTCAAAGGGGAAACAGCAACACCCCGACCCCCGTAACTGGCGTGTACCAAAAGGTCCGTGGCGTTCTCTGAGCAGCCCTGCCCTCTTCGATTCCGTCGTCAGGCGCGCGTCCTGGAGGGCCTCGTTGGCAGGGCTTGGTCATCGTCGCCGTGGTTCCCCTCCCTCCACAATAGCGGGGATAGCGGGGGCGCATGGTACTAGTATGTCCTGCTGCGTCTGAGACAGGGCTAGCGGGATCGTCGCGCCCGCGGCTGGCACTCAGCGCGCCAGGAGAACGCGGAGGAGGAGGAGGAGGAGGAGGAGGAGGAGGAGGAGGAGGAGGAGGAGGAAGGAGGAGGAGGAGGAGGAGGAGGAGGAGGAGGAGGAGGAGGAGGAGGAGGAGGAGGAGGAGGAGGAGGAGGAGAGGAGGAGGAGGAGGAGGAGGAGGAGGAGGAGGAGGAGGAGAGGAGGAGGAGGAGGAGGAGGAGGAGGAGGAGAGGAGGAGGAGGAGGAGGAGGAGGAGGAGGAGGAGGAGGAGGAGGAGGAGGAGGAGGAGGAGGAGGAGGAGGAGGAGGGAGGAGGAGGAGGAGGAGGAGGAGGAGGAGGAGGAGGAGGAGGAGGAGGAGGAGGAGGGAGGAGGAGAGGAGGAGGAGGAGGAGGAGGAGGAGGAGGAGGAGGAGGAGGAGGAGGAGGAGGAGGAGGAGGAGGGAGGGAGGGAGGGGAGGGAGGGAGGGAGGGAGGGCCGCGCTGCCAGGGCACGGCGGTGCACGCGGCCAAGCGGATGACATCGGCGCAGGGCTGGAAACTGCTAGAAGACATCACAACATGGGACGCATCTACAGGCTCGGGCGCAACCCTGCGCCACTCGGTCTGAAACTCTCAAGAGCTTTTGCGATCCCGTTGCGCGGCCCGAGTTAAGGTCCCCGAGGTCTGGCCATTCAGGCCGAAGTCCGAGCTGCTCGGGCCATTGCTGGCTCTTCCTGGGACGCGTTCCGCGTGGTCGGTTCCAGCGTTGCCTTGAGGTGGTGTCTGGTGGGGCCCGGCGTGTCGTTTGAACAGCAATGGCGAGGGCCGTCACCGAAGCTCCGGGACCGCGACCACGCGACGGCGCATCACGGGGCCCATTTTCATTGTGAGCGGCACAGTGTAGCGAGAGAGCCGTCCCAGTGAGTTCCTAGAAGGTCCAGCCCCACCTTCCCCCTGGTCCTTCACCCGCTTCGAGCCTGTCTTCCTCGCCTCCCTCCTCTGCTCTCCTCGTCCATGTTTCGATGGTCTGATTGGTTCTGCCTCGGGGAGCGGGGTGGGCCCGTCACGCAGAGCTTGCATACCCATGCGGTTGCCTGCCGCATGCGAGCTGCCACGCTCACGCTCTCGTCCTGGCGGGCCCAGATAACCTCGCTTCGCTCCTTGGTCGTCGAGATCGGCCCGACGGGCCCGTGGGGCTCGGGGCTGTTCGTGCCGCCGCTCTGGTTCTCGTGCCCCCGAGCTGCGAGCCTCGAGCAGGTCTTCCTCGGGTTCGCGGGACATGGGCGGCTGCGTACAGGTGGTCGTGAGGCCCGCTCCCTGATGTAGGACCCGACGGACAAGAGACTGCAACAGCAGAAATCCCGTTGGCAGATCCATATTGGATACAGGTGAACTACTTTCCTCTTCCCATCGGGCCTCGATGGGACTCTTGGCAAAGGTGCTGCAGCTGTACTCCGGGGTCCAGGTCTGTCCTGAGCGATGGCCCGTCATCCAGGAGTCCTTCGGCAAAGCCCCCATGGCATGGTCCTCGTCGTTTTTCGGACGTGGCTCGGAGGATGGAGTACGAACGCCCGAGCGCAGCGCGAGGCCTCATGCATTTTCGGACGCAAACGGCAAAGGGGTCGCATATGGCATTACGTATGCTCATACATCTGCTTGCATCTAGCCTCGATTTTGTTACATGAACTGCTGGCGGAGCGCATCGAGTATCGCCTTGGGGTCGAGAGTAGGTCATCCGTTTTCCCGGTCTCATTATGTCAGGATGATCGTGGTACCGCTATTGCTGCTCAAATTTCGGAGCCCCGATTACGCTCGAGAGACTGCTGGCCCTTCGGCAAGCCGTGCGGTTTGCGGTCTGCCTGCCTACTCGTGGGCAGCAAGCCTCTCTTCTCCGCCCTGACCTGCTACGCGATGCAGTTTAGACAGGACGGGCGCGGGAAAGCGGGTAGGTCGGGAGACTCATGCTTCCCACGCTCTGCCTCCTCCTCCTCCGCCTCCTCCTTCTCCTCCTTTTCCTCCTTCTCATCCTCGTCCTCGTCCCTATCCTCATCCTCATCCTCATCTTCCTCGAGTCTCCCTCAGGCCGCCAAGGACCCTCGCCCTCCCAGCCGCTTACGGCTTCTCCCCGCCCTCCGTCTGGAGGAGGTGAAGGAAGGGGGGGGCCTTGCAGCTTCGCCTGAAGGCACCATGGGCTCGACACTCCGTTGCCCTCTCCTTTCCTCATCTTGTACTTGGCCAAAGGCGCCCGAATCGTTCCGAGATGCCGACGGCGCCACCGCCGACAGCGACGACGAGGGCGCCGCCGCCGAGCCCGACGAGACGCTCACGACGACGACGACGACGACGACGACGACGACGACGACGCCGACGGCCTTCCCAACGACGACGCCGCCGCCGGCCGCCCGCGACGAGGGCCGCCGCCAGGGGCCCAGCTCAGCTTCGTGAACTCTGGCATGTGGGGCCGCGACGCCCTCGTGGCCCCGGGGGGCCACCGCGCCAGCTCCAGCACGGCCGGGCCGGCGCTGGCGCGGATGGGCGGGGCGGGGCGCTCGGGCGCTCTCCGGGCGCGCTCGGCGCGGGCCGCCGGCGGCCATCGGAGGCCTTCGGCGGCCTTCGGCGCGCTTGGGCGTGCGGGTGCGCCTGGCGCGAGCCTTCGGCGGCAATCGGCGGCAATCGGCGGCCGTTGGCGGCCATTGGCGGCGATCGGCGGCGGCGGCCTCTGGCGGCGGCGCCGTCGCCCCGAGGGGGACAGTGGTCGGGAGGGAGAAGAATAGGTCCGATGACCTGGTGCTTCCCCGACGGTGGCGCGCTGACGGGTTCCCCACGGCGACGTGTCATTGATGTTGTTGTGCTCCCCCAAGTTGGGGGCAGAGGATCGGGTCGGACGACGGACGACGACCGACGACGGCGGTCGCCGTCTGTCATTCGCCGCCGGGGGGGGCCTGGAGCGGCCCGTGGCCGAAGGGCCCATCCCTCACGGCGCGCCTCTCGAAGTCTAGGATCGGGTCGGACCAAAGGGGGGAATTGGGAAAGGGGAGTTGCGAAATCTGCTGCATGCAGCTGGTTTCGGCCCCGCCCCCCAGCGCGTTCCACGATACCTGGCCGCCTCCGGCGCCGAGCAGCGCCAGGGAAACCAGCTGCGTCAGCAGATTCGCTAACCCCTTCTTCCCCAAACAGTGTGTGCACTCAGGGGTTCTCATTCGTTTTCTAATAAACTGGGCCTGCCCGTCGGTATTGCGGCTATGTGGTCGCTTTCGCCGCCTCGTCGCCGCCCGTCTTCTGGGCCTGCCCGTCGGTCTGGCGGCTATGTGGTCGCCGTCGCCGCCCTGTCCCCCCGGGCCTGCCCGTCGGTCTGGCTGCGATGTGGTCGCCGTCGCCACTCTGGCGCCATCTGGGCCTGCGTTATGTTGTGGTGTCTTGCGTTACCTTGCATTGGATTGCATTGATTTGCATTGTTTTACGTGCGCCTGCTCCGGGTTACAGTGATTTGCATTGCGTTGCTTTGCGTTGTTGTGCGCTCCTTTCCACTGCTGTTGTTTAGTTTGCGCTGCTTTGCATTGGTCCGCGTTGCGTTGCATTGGTTGGCATTGCGTTGCACTGCCTTGCGTTGTGTTGCATTGCTTCGCGTTGCGGTGCTTGGCACTGCTTTGCGTTGCCGTGCGCCACGTAGATGGCAATATATGGTTGACACCACCTAGACATTTTTTTGATTGCACCACCTAGGTTGCACCGAACAGATTGTAGGAGGTCACCGTTTGGGTTCCACGCTGGCTGACATTTGTGGAAAGCAGGACCAAGCAAAACCAAGGCCGTTCACTCTCTGCGATAAATAACAAGGTAAAGCCCCATTCGGCGTGGAACAAATGCGTTTCTTGCGCGCCCGCTCGAGGAAAGTGCGCCCCCCATCTCGGATCCTTGTTGCCGAATGGGGTCCGCGGACCCCCGCTTTCCTTTGTGAAAATAAGGTGCGAAGCGTTTTGCGCAGAATCCATATTAAATAACAAGGTATGAGCCCCGACCGGGACACCACAAATATTAAAAAGTTGGTTTTTGCGTGCCCGCTCGAGGATGGCGCGTTCCTCGCGCAGGAATGTCGAGGATGTCTCGAGTCCCGCGCTTGTTTTGTAGAAGGAAGGTTGGCTTTTTGCGTGCCCGCTCGAGGATGGCGCACCCTGCGTGCCGAATCTCTGAGGATGTCTGAGGCGAAACGCTTGTTTTGCAGCGCTTGAACGGCTTGGGCACCCCAGGATACCCAGGTGGTTCTGGGAGTGCGATCGGACAGTTTTTTTATAAAGGATCGTGGCCTGGGAGCGCAGATGCCGCATAGTGTGCAAAGGATCCTGGCCCTGGGAGCGCGGACGCAGCGTAATTGACGAGGGATCCTGGCCCTGGAGGCGCGAACCCAGCGTAATTCACTAGGGATCGTGGCCCTGGGAGCGTGGATACTGCGTCATTCACGAGGGAGCGCGGCCCTGGGAGCGTGGACACTGCGTCATTCACGAGGGAGCGCGGACCTGGGAGCGCGGACGCAGCGTCGTAGAGAAGCGTAACACAGCCCCTGGCACAGTTGCATCACCATTGATACCTGGCACGTTCGCTGGCGCCTCCCCTGGCCACGTCGCGCGATGCGTCCCCTGGCGTGTCCCCTGGCACGTCCGCTGGCACGTCCGCTGGCACGTCCGCTGGCACGTTCCGTGGCGCGTCCCCCTGGCACGTTCCGTGGCGCGTCCCGTTGCGCGTCCCCATGGCACATCGCGCGGCGCGTTGGCACGTCCCCTGGCACGTCCAATGGCACGTTCCGTGGCGCGTCCCCTGGTACGCCACTGTGCGGCGCGGCACAGCGCAGAGCAGTACAAAACAGCTCCTGGCACAGCGTCATCACCATTGATGTCTTTTCAGCATTTTCACTGCCCATCGCCCAATTGAGGTGCTTGGACACGTCTCCATCCCTCGCAGTTCTAGATCCTTTTCCGCGTTCGTGGGTCGATCATGTTGGTGTTTTTCTCGCGCTCTCTCTCTCTCTCTGCCTCTGTATCTGTCTCTCTTTCTTTCTTTCTTTATTTCTCTCTCTCTCTCTCTCTCTCTCTCTCTATATATATACACGTAGCACCCCGCAATTGCGGATAAGAGTGAGGGGGCGGGCGCGGGCGACGCGGGCGTCGTCAAGCCGGCGGACCTCGTGGCCCCCACCTTCCCTGTCGATGGCGCTCTCCTCCTCCTCCTCCTCCTCCGCCTCCTCCTCCTCCTCGTCCTCGTCCTCGTCCTCATCGTCATCGTCGTCCTCCTCCTCCACCTCGTCCTTCTCCTCCTCCTCATCTTCTTCCTCGTCCTCCCTCTCCCCACCTCGTCCTTCCATCATCGTCCTCGCATTGTCGTCATGTTCCTCCTCGTCGTCCTCCTCTTCCCCCCCTCCCGATCCTCACCCCTCCTCCTTTTCGTCGTCGTCGTAGACGTAGACGTCGTAGTCGTCGTCTCCTTCCTCCTCCTCCTCCTCCTCCTCCTCCTCCTCCTCCTCCTCCTCCTCCTCCTCCTCCTCCCCCTCCTCCTCCTCCTCCTCCTCCTCCTCCTCCTCCTCCTCCTCCTCCTCCTCCTCCTCCTCCTGCAAAAGCAGCCCGCCGCAGGCGCCGAAAAAAATGGTGTGTACACTGAACGTGGTTTGGGTCGTGGGTGGGCCGCGGATTCTCCACCTGGAACGAATGCACAAGATGCCCGCCGCAGGCGCCGAAACATTTGGTTTGTACCCTGAACGTGGTCGCGGGTGGGCCGCGGTCTCTCCACCTAGAACGAATGCAAACGATGCCCGCCGCAGGCGCCGAAAATGTGGTTTGTACTCTGAATGTGGTTTGGGTCGCGCGGGCGACACGGGCGTCGTCAAGCCGGCGGACCTCGTGGCCCCCACCTTCCCTGTCGATGGCGCTCTCCTCCTCCTCCTCCTCTTCCTCCGCATCCTCCTCCTCCTCCTCTTCCTCGTCCTCGTCCTCGTCCTCATCGTCATCGTCGTCCTCCTCCTCCACCTCGTCCTTCTCCTCCTCCTCCTCTTCTTCCTCGTCCTCCCTCTCCCCCCCTCGTCCTTTCATCATCGTGCTCCCATTGTCGTAATGTTCCTCCTCGTCGTCCTCCTCTTCCCCCCCTCCCGATCCTCCCCCTCCTCCTTTTCGTCGTCGTCGTCGTAGACGTCGTCGTCGTCGTATCCTTCCTCCTCCTCCTCCTCCTCTCCTCCTCTCCTCTCCTCCTCTCCCTCCTCCTCCTCCTCCTCCTCTCTCTCTTCCTCCTCCTCCTCCTCCTCCTCCTCCTCCTCTTCCTCCTCCTCCTCATGCAAAAGCAGCCCACCGCAGGCGCCGACAAAAATTGGTTTGTACACTGAACGTGGTTTGGGTCGCGGGTGGGCCGCGGATTCTCCACAGGGGACGAATGCAAAAGATGCCCGCCGCAGGCGCCGAAAAATTTGGTTTGTACCCTGAACGTGGTCGCGGGTGGGCCGCGGTCTCTCCATCTAGAGCGAATTCAAAAGATGCCCGCCGCAGGCGCCGAAAATGTGGTTCGTACTCTGTGTGGTTTGGGTCGCGGGTTGGTCGCGAGTTGGTCGCGGGGTGGGTCGCGGGCTGTTTACGTGGAAGGAATGCAAAAAAAAACCCGCCGCAGGCGCCGAAAATGTTGGTTTGTACCTTGAACGTGGTTTGGGTCGAAAGTGGGTCGCGGGTGGGTCGCGGGGTGGGTCGCGGGTGGGTCGCGGGTGGGTCGCGGGTGGGTCGCGGGTGGGTCGCGGGTGGGTCGCGGGGTGGGTTGGGTGGGTCGTGGGTCGCGGGGTGGGTCGCGGGGTGGGTCGCGGGGTGGGTCGCGGGTGGGTCGCGGGTGGGTCGCGGGTGGGTCGCGGGTGGGTCGCGGGTGGGTCGCGGGGTGGGCCGCGGGGTGGGTCGCGGGGTGGGTCGCGGGGTGGGTCGCGGGGTGGGTCGCGGGGTGGGTCGCGGGGTGGGTCGCGGGGTGGGTCGCGGGTGGGTCGCGGGTGGGTCGCGGGTGGGTCGCGGGTGGGTCGTGGGGTGGGTCGCGGGGTGGTCGCGGGGCGGGTTGCGGGTGGGACGACGACAACAAACAACAACAACAACAACAACAACAACAACAACAACAACAACAACAACAACAAACAACAAACAACAAACAACAAACAACAAACAACAACCAACAACCAACAACCAACAACCAACAAACAACAAACAACAAACAACAAACAACACACAACAAACAACAAACAACAACAACAAACAACAAACAACAAACAACAAACAACAAACAACAACAAACAACAACAAAAACAACAACAAAAACAACAACAACAACAACAACAACAACAACAACAACACAAATCCGCACCGCGGAATCCCACTTCAGCCACGCACCCAGGGACAGTGAATGACCGTTCGGCCCCCTCACTCTGATATATTTCCGTCGCCCTCTGTATTTCAACTAACGTCTGGACGATTTGGGACCCTCGGGGTTCCCTTCGCGGGTTCATCTTGGACCTCGTGTTGGTCGCCCTAGGACGCTTCACGGGATCGCCCGCTGGAATTTGCGGACGTTTCCTTGAGATGCCCGAAGGCACCTGCCGGAACTCTTCCCTGGGTCGCCCGAAGGTGCCTGGCCTCTTGAGGCCGTCTTGGGGGGAACAGCGGGGCCTCCAGTGGTATCGTTGTTGCTTTGTGGGTGCCCAGGCGCTCGCGGGGCCTCTCGGGGTGCCCTTTCTCTGCCCCCCTGTGGCGGAGCCAAGTGGGGCCCACGAGAGCCTCGAGCACGGTCCGGTCAGGGCGTGAAAGGAGGTTGCGATCTAGGCGGACCTCAATTGCCTTGACACCCCAGGGTAGAAACGCAACAGTCTTCGTCCGGGCTGGGAGGTTGCGATCTAGGCGGACCTCAATTGCCTTGACACCCCAGGGTAGAAACGCAACAGTCTTCGTCCGGGCTGAGCACGCCGCGTGTTGGTTGCTGCTTCAACACGTGCTGGCCTACGTTATGGCGGATGTATCGCGACCAGCCTGCGTGCTCGATCTACGTGCTGAGCTTCATGCCACCACTCTCCGGGCTACGCGTTTTGAGTTGGTGCCCCCCAAACATGGAGTTGGCCCGTCAAAGCATTGAAGAACCTCTGCTGCACTAAGCACAAACCGAGCGACCAGGCCTGTGAACACACACACACACACACACTGACGGACACCCCTGGGAGGCTGGGCTCCAGTACCAGCACCTCTCACCTTTTTACAGATGATCGGGTCCAAGAACTGCGGAGCCCAAGAAGTCGAAAAGCCAGAATGTCAGTGGAATCGGTCCGTTCGTTGTCCGACGTGGGCCCGCGTCAGCCTCGCGCAGAGGGGGTAGGGGGAAGGGGGGAAGGCTCCTTAGAAGCACCCCTGCTGCTTAGAAGGCGCAGGCCTTACCTTTAGATGAGAGGCCGACGCCGTCTAAGAAGCAGCCTCTGGCTAAGAAGCCTTTCCGCCCCTCCTGCTCCCCTGTGCGCGCCGCCAGCAGAGAGAGGCCGTTTGGGAAAGCAGGAGGCCGCGGGGGAATGGCGCCCGCGGAGCTGCACCGCTCCCGCTTTGCGACCGTCTCACGGCGCGCCGAGGCCAGGAGCGGGGCGGTGGCGCTCTGGAGCGCGCCCCCCGTCGAGGCCCCTGCGCAGCCCGAGCTCATGGAGGCCGGTCTGGCAGCCGGGGGGCATCGGGCCCACGCGGGGGCGGCTCACAGGTCCCCCCTCCGATCATCATCATCATCATCATCATCATCATCATCATCATCATCATCATCATCATCATCATCAGAAGCAGCAGCAGCAGCATCAGCATCAGCATCAGCATCAGCATCCGCATCATCATCAACATCATCATCATCATCATCATCATCATCATCATCATCATCATCATCATCCTTATCATCATCCTTATCATCATCACCACCATCATCATCATCACCATCATCATCACCACCATCAGCATCATCACCATCATCACCATCATCACCATCATCATCATCACCATCATCATCACCATCATCATCGTCAGCATCATCGTCAGCATCATCATCACCATCATCATCATCAGAAGCAGCAGCATCCTCACCATCAGCAGCAGCAGTATCAGCAGCATCATCAGCAGCAGCATCGTCAGCAGCATCATTCTTTATAGCATCATCATCATCAGCAGCATCAGCGTCATCATCAGCATCTGCGTCAGCATCATCAGCATCATCATCATCATCATCATCATCAGTCGCATTTTCAGCATCATCATTCTCAGCAGCATCATCAATGTCATCACCATCCTCATCCGCATCCTCATCACCATCATCATGACCACTATCATCACTCATCATTCGCATCATCATCAGCGTCATCATCAGCATCATCATCAGCATCACCATCTTGATCATTACCACCATCATCCTCATCATCCTCAGCATCATCGTCAGCGTTACATCCCCAGCATCATCATTATCAGCAGCATCAGCAGCAGCATCGTCCGCAGCATCATCTGCGTCATCGTCGTCGTCGTCATCTCGATTAGCGTCAGCATCACAACCACTATCACCAGCAGTATCATCGTCATCGTCATCATCAGCAAGATCATCATCATCAGCAGCATCATCATCATCACTCTCACCATCACCATCACCATCACCATCAGCATCAGCATCCTCATCCTGATCGTCAGAAGCACGAGCATCATCGTTACCACGTTCCCCACGTCGAGCACCCGGCCCCGCGGTAGGGCCGCCGCCTTCCGCGCCCGCCTTGCTTTGCCTGGGGATCTGCGGCACCCGACGCGCGAGCCGTCGCGCGGAGGCGCGGGCCGACGCCCGCACCGCGCGCGAGGCCCCGACGCGCGCCGCATTGCGGGCGAGCGAGGAGAGCCCCAGCTTGCGCGGTGGCGCCCTCCTCCTCCTCCTTCCCCTCCTCCTCCTCCTCCTCTTCTCCTCCTCGTCTCCTCCTCCTCCCTCCCTCCTCTCCTTCTCTTTCTCCTTCGCCTTCGCCTTCTCCTTCTCCTCCTTCCCTCTTCATCCTCCTCGTCCTTCTCTTTCCTCATCATCCTCCTCCTCTTCCTCCCTCCCGCCCTCTCTCCCGCCCTCTCTCCCTCCCTCCCTCCCCTCCTCCTTCCCTCAACGAGAGAGCGAGGACGAAAGCCATGATAAGCAAGGCCTCCAGTGCCCAATGTCAGGAGGAACGGGAGGATGAGCAGCACGAAGGGAGCGTCGACGTCAACGCCAATACACAAAGAGAAATGAGAGCACGATGGGAGTGACGACGTCAGCCGTGTGACGTCCTCCTCCTCATCATCCTTCTTCTCATCCTCCTCCTTCAACTCCTCCTTCAACTCCTCCTCCTCCTCCTCCTCCTCCTCCTCCTCCTCCTCCTCGGTTTGCCCACGGCTTGCCTACAAAATTTGAAAATCTGCCCACGCTCTGCCTCGTCCTGGTCGCTCGGCGACGAGGCGAGACAAGGGCCCCGGCCTCCAACGCATTGAACAGCGCATTGCCCAGGGGCCCCGCGGCGGCGGTCGCCGCGCGGTGCAGTCGGCCAGGGCGCCGGCGCGAGGCTGCGGGCGAGCCGCCTGGGGCGGAACACGGCGCCGAGCACGGCTGCGGCCTCTGCGCGCGTTGCAGTCTGGCAGGAGGCACGGAGCCTCGCCACGCCCGACGCAGGGCCCAGGAGCCTCGCCGTCGATCCGATCGATCCGATTCGACATCGCCCGATCCGAGTGGATTCCGCCAGCCTGGCGTCGAAGAAGAAGACACGGCATGAACATCAATTTTCGGCGCTCGGTGCTAATTGCTTGGATCGGCGCTGGGGGTCCACTGGCGTCGCCTCTGGCGCCGCCCTTGGCGCGCTCTGCGCGCCAGAGAGGGAGGCTCAAGAAATCCGCGCGGATCGTCGAGCGATTCTTTCTATGCTATGTTTTCTCCCTCTATGGCGATGTGATGCGGCATTGCCATGGCGCTGCTGTGCATCCTAGCGAAGCCGATCTGGTTCGATGTCGATTCCGTGTCGATGTAGCCCGCTCCGATGCACGGTTCGATTCGATCCGATTTCCCAAGTGGATGTTGACCGAACCTGGCGCGACAGCCTCTTGGCCGCGGAGGGTCGGAGCTGGAGACACGTGCGGCGCTCCAGAAAGGTCCTCGCCTTCGAGGAAGATTGGCATCGCTAGGACGTGTGCCCCTTATCTCGGCGAGGACCATCGTCGAGCATCCTGGGTCATCCTGCGAAAAAGGAGCACGCACGAAGCTGACACATGCACCGAGAATGGACGGCCGAGCGATGGCAGGAGTCGCGAGGAGCTGGCACCTCTTCCTCGGCGGTTGGCTGCACAGGGCCGACGGAGGGTGGCGGACGTAGGGCGAGGGCGGCTCCGCAGGCGGAAGCCGCGGAAGGCTGGCGGAAGCAATCCGCCTGAAAGAATTACATATTATACCCGAAAGCCCTGGGGGGTGGGCGAGCGTCCCAGGCGTGGGTTCGGCACACGAAATCCCATCCTTTCGGCGTGATTCCTGTATACGTACTAGGCATGGTCCCTGGCGCTGGAGTCTGACAGGGGCGGGGATGGTGCGGCATGCGAAATATTATTCACGCTTCGCTTATCCCCACCAGCACTCAGCCGACCTGTGGCGCCGCTGGCGCCTTCGCATGCGGTTGCGACAAAAAGTATCCCCACCAGCTCCCCAGCGCCCTGCTCGGGGGCCTTCGCCATGCTCGTGTGCCCCCCCGCCTCCTCCCGGGCGGCCAGCGCGGACCGTTTTCTCTGCTCTTCCCCGCACGGGGTCGACGGACTCCTGGTCCTCCCCCACCGTACCTGCCCCTCCCCGTCGACCGTCAGTCCTCCGGCTGAACCTTCTCGCCACCTTGGCGGCGCGGGCTGCCGGTCCCCGCCTGATGGCACCCACGACATTTTCCCGGTGTCTGGCGATCCGGACTTGTTCCGCTGAGCGCCCGCATGACTGGTGACTTTCCTCGAAGCGTTGACCTCGCTGTCTTACGTTCCGCGGTCCGGCGGCTCGGCTTGGACTCGCTGCTCGTCCCGCTGGCGGTCTTCGACGTGAACGTGGATTTGGCTTCGAATCCCACCATTTTGGTGCTGCACTTCGCCCGCGAGGACTTCCTGGTGTGCGCTTTCCTGTGAGCGGCAGCGAGGCTCGCCTCCTGTTTGCCCCCCTCCCGCTTGGTCATTCCTCCTTCGCTCTTCCTCTTCCCTTGCGCTAATTCAGGCCGTTGCTAGTCAGCTCCGCCCCCTGACGCCGCCCGACCTCTCGCCGCGGCCGCGATCAAACAAAGCCCACCAGCTCTAACTTCTGGCAAGCTCGCGGTGTCGCCCAACAAGAATTCCCCGCCATTTTGGCGTTGCACCCCGGCTGGCGCCCCCCCCCCCCAGTCGACGGCGCCCTCCTCTGAGGGGCAGCGAGGCCCGCCTCGCGTTTGTTCCTCCCTCCGCTGTCCTCTCGTTGCCTCCTTCCTCCTCTGCTTGCGCAATTTAGGCCGTAGCGCGCTATTTGCGACTTTCGGACGGCGTCCAGCTTTCCCGGTGCGCTTGCGATCAAAAAATATCCCCACCAGCCCATTCAGAAGCCCTGCCCGCGAGAGTCGACGAGAAAAGGGACGAAGGGACACATCTAGGGAAACAAAGCGAACAACCAGGATGAACCGAGAGATCTCTGGGAGCAAGGGGGTGGCCTGGAAGGCCTCTTCGGGCCATCCTTGGGGGCCACGTGGGGGCGAGGGGAAGAGGAGGAGGAAGGGGAAGGGGAGGTGGAGGGATCCAGAGAGAGTGATCCATGGTGTTGCTGCTGCTGGTGTTGCTGCTGATGTTGTTATTGCCTCTGCTGGTGTTGCGGCTGGTGCCCTGGAGAACCTGTAGGGGCCATCGAGGAGAGCATCGATCAAATGATGGGGGGTCCTCGATTTCGGCCCCCTCCCAGGAGCCCTCAAAATCGCCTCTCGGAGCTCTCCTGGGGCTTTTTGGGGGGTATTGGACTTCTGTGGGCGGGCCTTGTCTGCGGCCGCGGGCCCTGAGGGGTCGCGTGCAGGACTCTTGCCGCGCCTCCAGCCTCGTCTGTTTCCAACCGAGAAGGTAATCCAACCGGGCCGTGGGTGCGTCCAAAGGCTGCTTTGGATTGGTCACGAGGGTGTCTTGGATGCCAGTCCCAGTGACCTTGTGGAGCTTCAGCGGAAGCCCTCTGAGGCCCTTTGGATGTTAGTCTGAAAGGTACGAGGAGAAGGACGAGGACGAGGACGAGGGGAGAGAGCAGCGACAGTGGTGGTGATGATGCTGGTGATGCTGGCGATGATGATGGTAGCGGTAATCATTGTAGTGGTGGTTGTGATGGTGATGGTGAGGATGATGCTGGTGATGATTGGTGATGATGGTGACGATGGTGATGATTATGTTGATGTTGCGGATGGTGCTGCTGATGATGATGCTGATGATAATGATGATGGATGATGATGGTGATTGCGAGAATGGTAATGGTGCTATTGGCGAAAAGAGCTGGAAGAGGAAGCGTAGCGAGAAGGAAGAGGAGGAGGCGAAGGAGGAGGAGTAAGGAAGAGAAAGGAGGAACAGCGGAGCATCGATGACTGATTAGAAATATGTGTGTGATCCGCGAGAAGCTGGGAACGAGAAAAAAAAACAATACTAATACGATTAACAA